GTGTTCTTGAATATGTTCATTGCATCGATTGGTGCTGATTGCTACAATATGTAACTCAATGCATGTTCAAATTCTTGGTTAAATTGGCTCATTGTCGATTTAAAAAAATCTGATGTAAATAAACTGTAATGTCATGTTGGATTCTCTTAAAAAAAGTGAATGATATGTACACTCAGCATGTTGTCTGCCTTGGATAAAAAAAAGAGGTGTATGGTCATCTTYCCCTGCCATTGTCAGGTGGTAAAAAAATTGGTAAGTTTCTTTCAGAKAGCCGTTTAAGTTGTCCAATAAAAAAATTGAAGTTTATTCATCCTGATTGAGGCTTGTACAGTCTGAGTTGCTTATAGTCATGTTATGATTTAGTGTTAGACACACTCACTATTAAAAAAATCCCTGGTATAACCTATGTCAAGTTTGTATGAGATATACTCCAAGTAACTTCTAGATGTGACACAGGCTAGTTTTGTTAGTAATGAGTTGTTTGTAATCATCTGTATGTATGCTGGCTTCTTCCATCTTGCTGTAAGTGTCTTGTTCCATGGTGTATGGTGATCAGCTGAGCAGTGTTTAAAAAAAAAAGAAATAACATACAGTACCTCTTGAAAAGACGATGTCTCCAAAAAAACTCACACGGCATCATGGGCCAAAAGTATTCTGAAGCCTGTAAAAAAATTTCACAAATATACATTTGAGCACTTGTCTTGTATTTGCTAAAAAAATTTCAAAAAGCACCTTAAGATGGGTTTCATAATACCAAATAAAAAAAGAGATCCCATACATTTTATACCCACATTGTCCCTTTGAAACGCAGTAAAAGATAATATTATACATATGTAAAATGTTTTGACTGGCTAAAAAAATCCAATAACATCTGATATAATTTAAAGTACATGCTGCTGTAAAAAAATCAAGATATTTGTCCAAGCAGGAGACTGGGCAAACATGAGAAAAAAACAAAAAAGGTGATCTACATTGAAAAAAAGGAACATTTTCCAAAAAAAAAGTGCAAGAACAATGAAGTTTCTTAAAAGTTAAATAATTAAAAAAAATGAATAGTTGGAAATCAAAACTTTTCAACCTTTCTTCTAAAAAAAAATGCGTGCCAAGCAGAGTAATGTTTGGTCTGTATTTGCCGAAAAAAATGATTGCATTCAAACACTTACCTTGTGCTTTTTCTTGTGTAAAAAAATACGTTTGTGAGTCATTTTTATAGACATTCAATTGCTTGGAAAAAAATCAAATTAAAATAACAATTATAGACATTCAATTGCTTGGCAAAAAAACAAATTAAAATAACAATTATAGACATTCAATTGCTTGGCCAAAAAAAAAATTTAAATAACGATTATAGACATTCAATTGCTTGGTCTAAAAAAAAATTAAAATAACAATTGCAAAGATGTCAGAAGTCAACAAGAAAAAAAATGCACTTTCTTATTGAAGTCCAACTTAGATGGAAATCAGAAAAAAAAAAATGGCACAAAAATCACATTGTTAGCATGAAAAAACAGAAAAAAATTGCAAATATAAGTTGTATATTTTGGGGAACAAATTT